TTCATATAGTGACTCGCATGAAATTTTTTTATTAGCGCCTGGGGACGAGGCAGATATATGTACATGACACGCTAAATGTTAATTACGGATGAGAAAGCGAATCAACAAATTACTATGAAATGCTTTCCCAAGGGCAAGGGCATGAAGGGAAAGAGTGATTATATACAGTAGAATACAGGTGGCTAATTCTATGATCAACATGTCGCCTGCATGAAAAGTCCATTGCCTTTCTGTCAATATTGAAAAGACACAGAATCATTCGCGAGTTTGTCCAAAGCATACAGGCAAATAAGTAATATCAACATGCTGCCTATTCAACGGAAAAGGGCAGAACAAATTTGCCATGAGTCGCGATCAAAGCTCTCATCGACTGTGCAATTTAGTCGTTTGGTTTCTGTACTTCTGAGATTCAGTGTTTTATCTCAGATATTTTTAAATCTCCAAACTTTTGAAGAAGGGCTTGACTTTTGTTTTGACGCAACAAAGGAAGGTAGGTTTTGATAAACTGCAAGTGTTAATAAAAACTGTTGTCTTTGAAAGACGTGAAATTTTCAATGTTTTGTTAGAATATTAATTATTGACATGAAGATAATCTTGCTTTATCTCATACGTGTTGAAAATGACATAGTGACTTTAAGGTTGCATGAGCAAGACCGGACACATAGTTAAATCGCGTGACAACTCCGAACAGATGTTGACGTCGGTCTATATTTTATTACTATAAACGCAAAAGTAGATTGTTGATATTCTAATTCTCGTTTTCACTATTACTTACAATCATCTAATATTCGAACCGTAGCTAATTAAAATTAGGGTTTGGATTTTATTGAAATATATATAAAGGATAAAATTGCCCGGAGATGTGAATTACTTTATATTTACGATTGATTAACTAACTTAAAAAATATTTTTAGGGAACAAGATGAGATGGTATTAGCTTTAGCGTCCCTAAAATAATTGTGCAAATTGAGTTGCAATTATTAATAATTTATGGAATGTCAATTGTTTTGTGTTTTAAACTAAGTAAAATACTCTATGGCAACCATATGGCATACATATATCTATACTGCAACAAGATAGCAAAACAACGAACAATGACAATATACCAAAATAATCAAGACTTAAATGTCCGTGAGGTTCAATAAAGGAAGTAAAGGACACTCCATGCAGTGTTGCAAGTTGCAAAAAAGAATAGAGTTTGTAGTCGGTTTGGCAGTGTCATGCACATGAGAATGCAGAGCTATATAGGCTGCGGAAGCATTTCAAAAGTTGAGAGGCATTGGCCCGAAAGGGACACTTTTGTATATGACCAAAATCAAACGATTTTATGTTGTTCACAAGCCTAACGAAATTTACCTAAATATACATGGACTTACGGTTGCAGCTCAACAGCTGGCCTCTGTAGCTCAGTTGGTTAGAGCGCTGCGCCTGATTCGCAGAGTCGTAGGTTCAATTCCTACCAGAGGACTTGTGCTGCATTTTTCGCAGTCGTTCCTGGTTAGGTCTTAAAATGTATATATATACTCATTTGGATTACAAACCCTAACATTCTAATATTAATTCCACTAAGTGAAGTACAAGAATCCAAATCATTGAAATCTCTAGAACGTCGGAAATGGTCTTTACAGAGTAGTCTTTAGGCTACTACTGCAAAAAGCGCACTTTTTCCAGCAAAGAGGGCGTTTATTCAGGAAAGACTGTTTTCGTTCTGTAAATCAGGAGCACTTTTTCACTTTAGCCCAGTGAAAAGGGCACTTTTTTCACCTTGAAAAAAGAGGTGGGGCGCGTGCTCCCATTGCTCCCAGGTTCCAGAAAACAGTACGATCTACAGACATGCATGTTTCGGCGTTTAACGCCTCGTCAGTGCAGCTTGGTACACGTCTAGATACATGATACATTTGCATTTATATACACATGAGCGTGCTCTCAAAAACTAAATCTCCAAAACTATTATATATATATATATATATATATATATATATATATATATATATATATATATATATATATATATATATATATATATATATATATATAATTCAGACTGAATTAATTCCGCTCTGAATTAAAACCTTGACTGAATTAATTCCGCTCTACTTATTATGGTATTGAGCGCTCTTCTACCTTACGTCAACTCATCGACTATTTTTTTGAATATAGTCTTCAGTATATATATATATATATATATATATATATTTATATATATATATATACATATATATATATATATATATATATATATATATATATATATATATATATATATATATATATATATATATATATATATATATATATATATATAGAAAAGACTTGTATCTTGTTATCAGCAACATTTCATATATATATATATATATACAATAATAAATCGTTGTCCGTTGTACAAAAAGAGTGCTCAATAACAAATTTAATTGATAGAGCAAAATATACTAATTATAATCTTAAAATTTTATTAATCGCTACACAGTGTTTCACGCTTTCAAAGCGATCTTCAGGCGATACTACTCTAAATAGTTGGAATGGCGCAAGCAAACTATTTAGAGTAGTATG